GGCAAGCATAGCCGGGTATGCGAGTACCAGCCTGGTCTGTGCTACCGTGTAGCATGTAGAAATTATGCGGACTACGTATCAGTTCAATTTTTAAAGGCACGCCATCTATGAGATATCTATGCTGCATAAACAAATCAGAGTGTAATTTCCCTACGAGCTCTACGGGTCTACTGGGGACGCATTTGCGTCGTCGTTCCTCGAATCCCGGGTTAGAATTCCCCTGTCCTAGAGTGAAGTTATTGAAACAACCCGCCTTATCTTTAATGAAATTCTGCTACCAGGTTGCTGTCTATTTGCGATTGATCGCAACTCAGTAGCGATCTCGATAAACGCTCTGTACGGGTATGTACCCAGGCTGTCCTTTAATTCTAGCTGGTTAGACCCCGCTATCACCCTTACCTCACGAAATAGAGAATGTAGAGTGTTTGTCACTGGTGCGCACACGTCTCTGTGTCTAGTCACCGTCTCACCATCCTCGCGCCCACCACATTGTCAGCCACGGTAAGCGCGACCATCCGCCGTCTTAAATTCGCATACAATTCTCAGGTAACATTCGGCCAGGTCTACGTAGCTGTTTATAGGGTTATTGATATCAAACCTTATGGTACCGTCCAACTGTCCCAGACCCGTAACGGGACTATATTTGGTCCAGTGTGAATCCGTCATCGTGGAAACCATACCCGGTAGCGAAAATAAATCCAGCTCACTTTTACCACATTGCACGTGATCCATATTCCCCGACATCATCATTTGAAACTACGTTTAATCTTTACTAGAATACCAAGCTTCTCTTAACCTTTCTCCTACGCTTCTTTCTTTTCAGCAGGGAGCCACGTCCCACGCCAGCCGTAGAAATCCTCTGTTTTTTCCTACGTTTTATCGGTGTCTGAGTACCCGTACTAATTCGTCTGCGCTTACCGTTCGACGTTCCTGTCTGAAATGGTCCCAAAACGCCCGACATTGTGCTTTTAAGCGCCCTACTACCACGCCGTCTTATACTTTCTGACGCTTTTGCACTACCCGACACCACATCGCCCACAACACCCGCGGCAGCTTTGGCACCCTCCCTCAGTAATACTTTACCCGTCGACTTTAGCAGAGGCATTGCTATTCTACCTATAGCGCCTAATATATTTCCGAGACCAGCACCACCCTGTCCGTAATGTCTACCGACGTACACCGGTATGTGACCTCCATGATTACCGTACATCGTTAGTATGTCACCCCTCGCTTTTAAAATGCAGTATCACCACCGACCGACCGCCAGCAAATGACACGGGTCGTCCGCGATCGTCCCTTATAAGAATAGTCACAGAACGAATCTCGTCAAATTTTAAAGACAAATATTGTATAGGATTTTTTTCGCTGACGTATACTACATCTTTCATCATTTTCTTTTTCACGGGTATCAACGTCAGCAGAGGTGCCAGCGTGTGACCGACGATCTGGTCGTCGATAATGTCCGAATAGACGTACATGTTATGGAAAAGCTGTTCTTTGGAGAAATTGGAACACGTATCGGCTACGGGAGTCGTTCTGGGGTCTAGTATGCATACACGGGTGTCGCCCACAGTCTCGGGCACGGTGGTAGTGAAACCCAACATAGAAGCCAGGTAGGGCGACACGTCGAATCTAGGACCACATTTACCTAAAACGTGTCTCACCTCGTCAACATCCACCCCAACGAAATCGCTCTCCTCAAAGCCCGAGGCCATGTAAACTAAATCGTCCCGGGAGTACAAATATTTACAGGTCTCTTTAGGCGTTATCAATTCTATATCTATTTCCACACCACCCCCGGCATTACTATGTTTATGATATTCTTCACGCCACGCTTGCAACCGCGCGTTAATGGAACTATTCATGGTATCTAACAGTCTCGCCATCGTATAATTCCTTTCGCGGTAGCATTATCGGTCCCAGAAATTTAGTTTGTAAACCGCATTTATCCTTGATCACCCTACCACTCTTATACACTCTCTCACGTACGGGTACGGTAATATACGCGCTGAAAGTATTGTGAGGAGCGGGTAAATTGTGCCATGTCACGGGTATCTGTACAGTACTAACGCCCACTCTCAATTATTTTTCTATCTACCTTCAGAGGGTATGGTAAATCTACGGTGTACGTGTGTGCTGTACATTATCCGGTCGAGTTTCTGGGCTGGCATCGCTAGGTAGGGTAAGGTAAAATCTGTCGGTTTCGCACCATTACTCATAATGTACGGTCTCGTTCTCCCATACGCTGACGTTCGGTGACAGACGAGGGTTGTCGGCTGCTTAGCAAACCGGGAGAGCTATGAACCGTCTGCGCGTGACAGTGATATTTTTAGTAATTCAAACAACGGTTCCTCCACCTTCTTTATATCCTCGGCTAGATCGGGGGCGTGGTACCTCTCAGAGACAAGTAGCATACGACCAGTGCGCATAACAGAATGGTGTGTAGTGGTAGCTTTCTCCGCGCGCGTCAAGCCCTTTTGAATATTTCCTTACCACGTGACTTTCTGGTAGCCATTGGTCGAATTCTTTGGCAGGGTATCCCTTCCATCAGATTAACAGCTCTCTTTACCGGTAGCCTTATTGATCCTTCTCTTCACTACACTATCTACTTCGTACGCCTCTGGCTCTGATACCACTTGTAACTCGTCCCAATAAAATGTTCTTTTATAGCTTTCTATAGCGTATTTTATAGACTGTCGTTTCTAACTTTGTTGACAGCGTAAAATATTTCTCTGGTCCAGTTGGCCTCATACCCTTTATCGAAATTCCCTTTTCTCGTAGAAATCCTCACGGGTGTATCTGGCAGTAGGTATTGTTAAGCGTTCGAATGAAGATAGCGCTTTTTCGTCCAGAGTATTTTGCCCGTGGCTGTTGTCTCTGTGGCGTGATCCCACACCCGAGCTCGTCACGGATGGTTACCACGTCGCTAGGCTTACATCCGATGGTAGTGTGGTAAGCGTTATTGTACGCTTTCAATATTTTAGGCAACACCTCCACGTACCGAGGTTGCGATACCGTGGTAAAATATCTCCATAAGCGTGTCTTTAGGGTTCTCTGAAATCTTTCCACGACAGCGCATTTCACGTCGTCGTTTTGACTAGTATAAAACGATTTCCTCAGAACCTTCTCAACGTGATGTCTAAAAGTACTATTCACAAATTCGCTACCTTTATCGGTCATTAAGCTAAGAAACATACGAGGCTTAGCCCGGGCCAATATCCTTTTGAAACCATCGGTCCACGGTTTTAGCTTTTTATCCTCGGCGGTTCGGCAAACGGCGTATCTGCTAAACACGTCAATCGCGCATAATATGAATTTGTAACCATTATTCACTTTACTGATACTAGCGACACGTCCGACAAGTCAGCCTGCCACAATTGATCTTTTCTACACACTGTGGCGGAATAAGGTGTTCTGGGAAAGCTTGGTGGGGTGGGGTCTATGTAGACTGTGCAGCGGGTTGTCTCTTTAACCAAACGGTTACCTGTGCGGGGTAGGTTTGACGGTACCCTTACGCTCCTTAGCCTCAGACAATTTTCTTAAGAGACCCACGCGCGAATCAAAACCTCGTCACATCGTAATAAACACGTTTCAACCATTTCAACCAGTAAGGTTTAATAGGTTTCCCACTTTCGCTGTCGGTCGGTGCCCTCGGACCGCGCCTACCCTCTTTTCCTCCCCGAAATCGTTCGAGCTCTTACTTTCCTCATTACCCGATTCTTCTTTCGTGACCTCCGGTACTATTGCTCCCTTCGGACGTACATCGCGTTTTAATACCCGTAGTGCTCGCTCCAGACTCCGCCATTCTCGGCGACAGGAAACCCGCTACGCCGTTGTATTTACTCCCGCTACCTTTTCTTTTAGTCAATTCGTGTAATACGTCGCGCAACGTATCCGTCCCCAGAGACGATCCTTATAGCTCAAAGTTCCCTCGTCAGACACTTCCAGATCAGGATCACTTTTAATGAAGTCGGTAATATGTTTAGCATCTTGTCTGTACGTTTTAGGTAAATCGAACAAAACCTTAGAAAGCGTTGCATCTAAACCCGACGGTTTTACTTCCGTAGCAGAACACGGTCGTCAGCGGTGCTAGTCCGTCATCATTTATCCGTCCTCGGGAAAAGCGTGTGATCTCCTCCACTCTTGACTAAACCCTCCACGCGGCCGGGCTCTCGATTGTAAATCTAGAGCGTCTTCCAATAGAGCATTATAGCGCCATTTTTTCGTGTAGTTTAATCGGTGCCGATAACGTCCTATCATCGGGATTTTCGGTGTCGTCGCCACATTTCTCAAGTCGTCTAAATTTTCCGCCTTTCTTTCAGTAAAAGAGCGTTTCCCGAAGAGGAGAGTATTCCGTCGAGACTCCGTCGATGCGTGTCGAGAGGAATCTACGAGGCGGGAATACGCTGTCTGTGGTAACACGACCATTTTGGTAAAGGAGGAAGGCATGGTATGGTATTAAGAGCCGGTAAAAGACCCTACCACGCTCGATACAAGCTTTGTTACGACTGGTGCTAAAAGGGGTAATAACAGAGGTAATACACCACCCTTTTGCGCCAGTATTTTCCTCTTACCAGCCTGCGAAACCCTGTGTCTCTGACATAGGGTATGAAAAGCTCTTTTCTTACAATTTAATCGGCGCCTCTGGTCATCAGTCATAGGTAGATTGCCGGAATACACGTTAACGGCAGTCGCTTAAGCTAAGCGTCGATGACTTCTTTGGGTAAGCACCCCACTAACCGCGATCTGACAGCGCTTGGAGCCCTACATAAGTAATGTAGAATGTCCGCGTTAGCTTTTACCCTGTTGGACGAATCGCCTTTGGCAATACCGTTTCTCTTAATAGCCGTCGTCCTCCGCCGGGTCGGCATACCCCGCAGTAATTTACCGTTAGAACGAGGCATGTTGTCCATCAATTTTGCCCGAGGGGATGTCGCACTACGCTGGGGGATATCCGCCAAATGACGACTAAAACGCGTGACCGTTATATTTATGATTATTTATTTCCTTTTCAAAATACGCTTGGGTGGCGGTATCGGAGGGATAGCCGAGTCCGTAGTGTCACCACGTCGTCCACCCTTGCTTGCTCGAGGTGAACGCCACAGAAGGGAGTCCCCTCGACGTCTCGTGGCTGGTACATCATCCCCGGTATCGTCGCTGCTACTCTCGCCGTCGTTGTAAGCGCCTACATCGTCGCGGCAATACCATAGCGTGTCACTATCGTCGTCCCCAGACGATGACGATGCAGAAGAAGAAGAAGAAGTAGAACTGGTCGTCGCATCGTCATCGGTCATACTAGAGCCGTCGGTGTATCCGTCGGGAGATGTCGAAGAATAGTCGTCATAGCTGCTACTACTACTACTACCACTACTACTACTACTACCGTCTTCGTCCGCGGTGTTCGTGGCGACAACCTCCCGTCGTCCGCGAGCATTTCTTTCCCCCGACACGCAACCCTTATCATTGAGGCAATCCATATTATTCACTTTTGCTTAGGCTGGTATACGTCTATTTCCCCGTGTTCCCTGTTAAACTGGTGACCACGCACTCTAAACTCGTCGGGTGTGTTCGGCGTTAAATCCAGCATTATATAGGTGTGGGGTTGTGACGTAGCATGGGCGTAGGCATCTCTTATAAATCCCGATTGACCCGGGAATATCTGTCTAGCTAAATGGTCTATCTGGCTTCTATCGAGGGTTCTTGTACACAACCACGTGCGTGCAATTTAAGCTGATTGTTCTGTGGAACGGTGTCAGCGAAAATGTTCTGTTGTAAGTATAGAATGCTGGTCTGTCTGTGATGGGACCTTTTAACGAACCATCTAAGTAGCTCTTTTCGTCCTCCGGGTCAAATCACCCGCAGCGTCGTCAATCACTAGCCAGTTATGCTTGGAAGCGTCTACGTAGCCTTCTATGTCGTCGCTAATCTTCTGCACGAAATGAATTTCAATACCACCCCTCGCGCATATCGTTTTTATAGCGTCGTATATAGGCTGCATTTCGCTATACACCCACACTACGATGTCGGGTAGCTTTTGTAGTAAGGGCCACGGACCATCGATATCGTTTTCTAGCATGTGCTTTACGAATGTGGTTTTACCCGCCCCGCTAGGACCTCCTATTAAGAGTCTGAATATCTTAGGGAACTGGAAATGAGTTCTGTCTACTAACCGTTCCTGTCCTGGTGCGCGATAGCCAGCCATGTCTATAGAGGCGGACGTGATAACGCTCTCGCTCTCTCTCTCTCTCTCTCTCTCTCTCTCTCTCTCTCTCTCTCGCGCAGGTGCGTGCATATATATATATAGAAGGGGAGGGAAGTGTGAATGGTCAGTGTTTGGAGCGATTGCGGCGTAGTGTTGTTGTGTCCAAACAATGCTGCTAACGCTGCTACAAATTGTCATCAGCGTTTATTCGAGAATGGAGATGATGGATAAAACGGGGAAACTTCCACGCCGAGACGAAAATCGCCATTAAAGCGTGAGTGTGTCTCTGTCCTCGCGCTATTGGCGACTACTCTAGTTATTCGTGTGCTGCGCGTTGATCTCGATAACTTTACCACATTCGTCGAGAGCGGTACCCCTCGAGACACAATCGTTAGCGCGCGACGGCGGGTGCGAGCCTAACGGATACCGGGTGTATCGCGGAATCAGCTCGCCTTTCGGCAACAAAACGTGTTTCCGTTTGTATGAAGAAAACCTCCCTATAATCGATATTAGACAATTTCTAGCCGGCAAAGCGACAATTTTAGGTATATCTATTTCCACAGAAGAATGGCGTCGATTAACCGAAGATATTTCGAGTATAAATAAACGTATAAAAGCGCTTATGTGATGCTTTTATAACGAATCCATAGCTGTTTGTTTGTTGTTGTTTTTCCCTGCGTGAAAACAGAGAGACAGAGACACGAGCGAAAATAACGACAGAAATAATGGGTTTTACATTTCAACGGACTACGGTCCGTTCGTTTATTACGTCATGGGGAGGGTGTGCTTTCACTCGTCGCTACCCCCCATCAGCTCAGCCACGAGCCTCTGTAATTCACCGTCGAGTTCGACAGTTGTTTCTTCTTCTTCTTCTTCGCGGGAGGAGAAGAAGGCGCCGTTTTTTGTTTCTTCGAGGGTTTTTTTTTCTTCTCGTTGGCAGCTGTCGTCGTTGTCGTTATGCCGCCGTTCGTCTTCTTCCTTTTCTTCTTGCGACACGTGGGTGTCGATCGGCTTCGAGTTTGGATGAGTGCGGCCGTGGTGGTGGTGTTGGTGGTGGGGGCCGGTGGGTTTTCGTGCTGGTGTTGGGGGGCCGGTGGGTTTTCGTGCTGGTGTTGGTGGGTGTTGTTGTTGTTGTTGTTGTTGGTGGTGGTGGTGGTGACGGTGGTGGCGGGTTGTCCAGTGATGGGACGGTCTGTGTGGGGTGTGGCGTCTCTTTCGCGTTGTCGTTGAGGGGTTGGTTTGGAGGAGCCCATGCTGTGTCGGAGGGCTACCATGACGTGCGACAGAGCGTTAGTGAGGGCGTAATTGATTTGAAACATGTCGTCCTGGTACACCCCATCCGTTCGGCTGTCGTGACATGACGATAGATAGTAAACGTGCGTCGAGCGTGTGGTGGCGCGTCTGTCTGCGCGTTTGGGGGTGTGTGGCTCACTAAAGTAGAGAGAGATGGCGACTTGGCGGGATGCCAGACTATTTACCAACCGAGCGCGATGGACGAATCACGCGGGGTTGGTGTCGTAACCGTAGGGTACCGTGTAGGTCAAGCTAGAGGTTACGGGGTCGGCGATGATGCGACGTTTGCTGTAGCAAAACCCGTAATCTTTAGATTGACTCACGGTATGTATGTCCAGCCCTCGCTTTAGCCCCGCCCTCTTCAGAAAATGAGGGTACGTAACGCGAATTTTCGTGCGAGCTTTTGGGGTCTGGAGAGCTGTGTTGACCATGGCCTTGAAATTCAAAAGAGTCGAGGCGTGATAATTTAAGGTAAAACCTCTAATCTTACAAACTTCCTGAGGGCCTTTACGCGGTCGATGATGTAATCGATAAGCGTAATTTTTCGGTCCACAGGTCACGAATTCGTCGATCCAATTGCCCTTTTCTATCTCGTCAGTCCATTCGCCCAGAGAATCTCCGAGTTTCAGAGGTCGAGGCTCGCTCTCCTTCTCCACGTAAATGACCGAATCCGTGTCAAAGTACAACACGGCATCGCCTAGGCACTCCAAGGCTTCGTACAGTTTTAGCCTAGCTTGCGCCGTGACCCACGCGGCTATGACGGGATTGCTGGCGGTGTGTGGAACTCGGTGTGCTTCAATGGGAGCGAAGGTGACGAGTAGAGTGTCAGGGCTGACCAATACGACATCTTTCATATCTATGCACCTATCGTGAAAGAGGTCGTAGAAGTCGCGCTCGTTTGTGATGTACCGACACTGGGTTTTGTCATTAGACTGACCAAATTTGCCCCAGTGACTGTTCAACATAAACTTGGCTATTGCTCGCATACCCGGATTGAATCTGATATTGGAGGGATCCATACGAAATCCCTCCTTTCGGAAAATATCGTCGACGAAACTGCGTTGACTATCCTCCGTGACACACTCGGGAGGGTAGCCGCTAGCTTCTTGTTTCAGCTTGTAAAAGTTGTCGACATATCCGGCGAACAATCCGGGGTGTCTGCGATGTCGAGTCGTAAACCTCGAACCGGGAAAAGTGCCATGCGGAGAAAATACGCCTGACTACATAACCCAGTTCTCGAACGCTTTATGCACTTCTACGGTGGTGTAGGCACCCACCCATGACCTCTCATCGTCGGTATGCCGACACTCTGTTTCTTCATTTTGTCGGGCGCACGTTCGACAGAGAGGAAAGTAGAGCTTACCATTAAGCGATACGGTAATGGCGGGTGATAGAGTCGTCGAGGGGGTAGAATGTCGCATTTGATGAGACCGTCCAATTCGAACAATTCGTCTATCTCGGGATTGTGTATAACACGAGGGTGGGATACGGGGAAGCGGCCCTTCTTACACACGTACGGGTACAGCGAGCACACGTCGGCGTACCGTATCTTTCACCCTCCCACACTTTTGTGTAATTGGATACCATTAGTGCGACCCCGTAAAAGCGCGTCCGAGGTTTGAGAGGTACGGTAGCCTCGTCGGGTAGCTGGTCTTCCCTGACTCTACCGGCTCTGTATTGACACTCCCATATGGCGTGTATGGCAGACACTTCCGGGTGTTGTCGTAAAAGACCTAAACGATACATGGTGCGGTCGTGTCTGTCTGCCAGGGTAGTGCCGAACCGTGAAGTGTCGTTGATGTTCCGCTTCTACGCGGGAAACACGTCGTGCCGCAGCGTGCCAGAAACACCCTAGAATTCGTAAGCTACTTTCGCGACCGGATCGTAACCGTCTACTTTGTAGGTATGCGGTCTCTGCGCGGCTGTGGTGTCGTCATCGTCGTGGACATCGACACCACAGGTGAAGGACACTTCACGATCCAGACGTAGACCCCGGTTTCGTTCCAGAGACGCTAACCACTCGGCGCATATTTTCGACTGCCGTGGCTGGTTGTCCTGGTACCCACCGGGAGGTATTATGGCTATGGTGTCGCCTAAGCGTCAACATGCAGGCGTGGGGCAAAGTGATGCAGTCGTAAAAAGGGTTGACGTCGTTCAGAGACAGGAATATGTTTATGAATTTCGCACAACCCCGTCTTAAGATGGCCACGTCTTGCCGACAATACTTTAAAAGCTCGACCTGCATGTTGAACGATTTCCCTTTGTTTTCCCCATACCACGAGAGGAAGGTCTCCCGATCGTCCCGACACATGCCATCTGCGCCGTAATAATGCACGGCGGGCAGATTGTTCAGGAGAGCTGTCTGGTTGGCGCCGATTGTGTTAAAGAGATGTGGAAAATACCCCTTTTCACTGGCTTCCAAACCAAAAGTCTTGCAAAATTCCTTTAGAGCATCGGGGATATAGTTGTGGGAGTCGCGGAATAGAAGTCTCCCTACAGACATGTTCAAAATTTTGCTCCCGGTCAATATAACCTCCGGCTTTTGCGTAAGATGTTCTAACAACGATTTCAAAATGAAATGGTTGTCATAACCCTTAGCGTAGTGAGCCACGACCACGATGGCTGGGTTACCACCCTCGTCGTCGTCGTCGTCGTCGTCGTCGTCGTCGTCGTGGTCGTGGTCAGCAGCGGTAGCATTTTGAACGCTGCGTGTCCTCCTCGAGGCGATCGCGGTTGTGGTATTCGGGCGTGTTTTTGAAGGTGGTGGTAGCACTAACCGGGAAAAAACTGACCCGACGAGTGTCTCGGTATGGGGACCGTCTATGACTATTTCCGTTTATTATCCGCAAGTGCGCATTGAGTTATTTTCTCGGTGCGCCAAGGGGCGTCTCGCACAAGTATTCAGACTCTGAACCCATGCACTTACATAACCGAACTGGAGAGCGCGCATAGGTTGGGTATGTGTTTGCCGTTTTCGTGGCACATGGATTCGAAATCGTAAAATATATACTTGGTGAGATCATGGTCTATCACGGTCCTCGTTCTCGGCGACGTCGACAGACATGTGGCATCGGTGAGAGGGTCCGAAAAGACTCTTACACCGACGACACACTTTGTTTTTGTCAACTTCGAGACATTCGTGGTCCGCATTTCTGTCGGTGCGGCATTGAGGACACCAGATTCTCTTCTGCACGCAAATACGATTGGCGATATGAGCCTCGTGACAGTCCGCAGTAGGAAACCATACACGGCATCGCTGGCAAGGATGGCCGAGCAGCTCCAATCGATCACCGACATTACCACCGGGTACCACCCTATCGCGCTGCTGTCGCCGAAAATCGTAAAGACAGCTTTTACCCTTACGTCCACATTTTCCGCACGCATACTCTCTAGTGCACGCGTGTCTGTCGTCCGCTTTGTACCCCCTAAGGCATTGCCTGCAATACTTGTTATCGCCGTACAAACCCGCTACTGAATTGATACAATCGTAGTGACCATTTGTACCGCCTCGGGGGGTGTTAGCTGGCCACCAGAAAATATCAATGCGGGATGTGTTCACCCATGCCTGGCGGGGTGTGCGGGGCGTACAAAACAGAAGGACCGCTACCGGGTGTGATAGTGTAATGCGTGCAAGCGCACCTCGTCCCTCAAACATGCTTGAAAAGCCTCCCACGCGGGACGACCTTCGTGTGCTTCGCTGTCTGAGACCCGCTTCGTTCGTTACAAAGTTCGGTAGCCCTAGTTTGCACGCCTCTCGCATCCCTCAAGAACGCTTCTCGCTCGGTGTATCGCTGTCTGCGTTCCTTCTTGGTCACATCTCGGGGTAACGAGGCCTGCCTGAGAAGGTACATTGCTACGGCTATAGACCGACCTAAGCACAAGTTATCGACATTGTCTATTTTAGTGATTGAGCCACCCCTACTGGTCTTACGTCTAGTAAACTCCTGTAGAGTAATTAATTGTTTCTTAGACAGACGGCCATTACCCCTACCCACAGCGGCAGGATCCCTAACTATATGCAGCTTGATCGTCATGGTACAGCCGAACGTGAAAGATGTATTGGACTGGGCGACGTGTTCCATAGCCCACAATATGGTGTCACCCGTTAGCTCACCAAACCTGACAAACGGTATGCAGACCGGCGCCCGCAGATCGTCGTTTTCTACGTACAGCGTCACGACATCCGTTGGGCGTATCTCTGCGAAAAATAAGATACATATATAAAAACTAAAAAACGCTTATACAAATATCGTTCGTGTGAACTGTTATGCTTTGATGTAAAGTTTTGTTAAGATTTCGACTATTTTCATTATTTACAGACGTACTGACGATGATATTTTCAGAGTCGTGGTTTTGTTTTACAATACATTAGCTGGTGTGTAAACAACACCATTACACTGAATTGAATATTTGTAAAAAATGGTGTTAGAACAGCCGACTGAAGTATGCAAAAATATCGTATATTATATTGGAAGATATGACGACTATCTAGTTTAAATTAATGACGTACCTTTCAAGCTACACTGATGAGCTATGAGGGTGTCGAACGCATATACAAATATCGTTCGTGTGAACAGACGTGTTTTCGTGTAAAGTTTTGTTAAGATTTCGACAATTTTCATTATTTACTGGCGTCATGACGACGATCTATTCAGCGTGGTGGTTTTGTTTTACAATGCATTAGTTTGTGATGTGTAAACAACGCCTTTAAACTGGATTGAATATTTTGTAAAGATAGAGTTAGAACACCCGACTGAAGTATGCGAAAATAACGTATATTATATTGGAACAACATATGACGACTATCTAGTTTAAATTAATGACGTACCTTCCAAGCTCCCCAGATGAGCTATGAGGGTGTCGAAGCCGCGTGTGAGGTCGTGTTCCGCGTCCACACCGCCATGTACTCTGTCCAGGAATCGCTGTAGAAACCTGAACAAATACACGATGTTGGACACCCTATATCGCCGACTGTCCATGCGACGTATTTGTCGTAAGAAAAACACAGTGTCTGGCGTATAGTTAGTATGGGAGTGCTGGCCGTCAGCGTCGTCTTCACCTCGTACCTCCATTCCTTCAACCCCTACATGGTCGCCGTGTTCGTCGTTTCTGGGTGGTGTTGTTGGTGGCTGACCTGCCCCGGACTGATGATGTGTGTCGCTGCTGATGACGCGCTCGTACTCCTCGTCGTCCGCTGAAAAATATATCACTATATCGTCGTCGTCTTGCTCATCGCCGTGTTCTAAGAGAGGCATGACCCTTTCATTATTTTCGAGTAATTCGTACTCAGGGTCGTGCTCGTCCATGACGATGAAGACATCGTCATAACCATTCGCGTTTCCGTGCTCCATACTATGTAGTAGTAGTAATATAAATTTGCTCGTGTAGCGTATTATTATGGCGATGCACGGGTTGCGACAGCTTTGTTTGACGATACTTATATGTCGTAGACTCGATTAAAAGGTGTTAGCTTGTGGCTGTTTTGGACGGACTTTGCAATATATGTATGAAATCAATTTTCTGAGGACTTAACCTGTCCACGGTAGATTACGCGGTCACTGGTTAGTGTAATAGTGGATGGCACGATGTAGTAGCAGATTTGTTTTGTTTGTCATGGCTTAACCCGACCACAATAGTGTATACGGCCAAAGGATGGTGTAATAGCAGATCGCGCGACGTAGTATGACAGTTTCTCATCACTTAACCTGTCCGCGATAGACAATATGGCCAGCGGCTAATGCTATATTGAATCCCGCGATTTAGCATGTCAGTTTTCTCACCACTTGACGCGTCAACTAGGTGACGGCTGTCGTGCGCTGTGACTACCACGTACGAGATAATACTCCCCTCTTATGCGCGTACGGGTATATAAGCACGCGTACCCCATACAGAATAGTTGTGCTTGCTGTTCGCTCGTGGATTGACAACACATCTTTTTTTAACAGACTCACTCCCTGTATCTACGACTCAACATGGCTTGCAACGTTGTGAATACCGCTGCTGGTGCTGTTGCTACTGCGTGTACTGGTGAGCGTAAGCATTGTTGGAAATGTCCGGGATCCAGCGACCATGTTTTTGAGCACTGCCCGAAGGCAGTGTGCGGGAACAGGTGCGGGGGTTCTGGACATTGGGGGATGCAGTGTCCCCAACCCTGCACGGTATGTAACGTGCAGGGACATTACAGAAGAAACTGCCCCAAGCTAGGCGGCGGGGTGATGACCGCCCCTGCGAGGATGGTCGACGCTAAAGCGCCCACCGCCTCGGTCCCGCGTACACCCGGCAAATCCGGCACCCCCAGCTACGGCCAATGCTACAGATGTGGGAGCGCGGATCATTGGTCTCCTAACTGCCCTGGGGCAGAGTGTTACAAGTGTGGGGAAAAGGGACACTACGCCAGACGGTGCCCCAATGATCCTGCGGTGTGCAAGAAACAGAAGGAGGTGGCAGAGAGCGACCTCTGGGATGGAGAAATGGTAATACCTGTTGAGAAGTGCTCCAAATGCCTCAAAAAAACGTGCGACGTGAGCACTCAGACAACAGGACGTTGGATGAGCTGCTCGCAGTTCAAGGGCTTAGGAAGGCGTGCGGGTTGAGCGAGGATGGGGTGTCGGGACCACGGGGTGGTAGCTCCCACAAGACGTCCCGTAGTGTATACGGTAGAGGACGACTCTACTCCGGAGAGTAGTCCACGCCGTTTGCCCACCACCCCTGACGATGTAACAGCCTCCGCCCTACAAGATTCGACACCGTCACTCTACGTGGACACGGAGGATGATCGCCCCGGGTTTCACGAGAACTCCCAGAGGTGGGACGACGAGTCCCCACCTGTGTGGTGATTGACATATGTGTTATCTATTAAACTGAGCGTGTTTGTAAACATTTTGTTTGTCGTTGTTTGAGAGAGAGAGAGAGAGAGAGAGAGATGCGAGATACGCCCCCGAGGCTTTGATGGTAGTGTACGGGTGTTTATCGCCCTGATGTGGAGCAACGTATGCCCTCGGGGGGTTTGACGATGATGTCACGCACGTGGTGATCCCTGACTGACAGACCTCCCAGATATGTCAAGCTGGACGTGAGTTAGAGCCCGACAGCCGGAGAGCGACACACGTCGCTACCCCTGGCTGACTGACCACGAGATAGTCAGTTAGAACCCGACAGTCGGAGAGCGAGGTTGTGTCCACTCACCATAGCAAAGATGTCTCAGTACTACGATACTCTTAAATACCAGAAGGATGGAGAAAGGGGTCAATTGTCCGATTGCTATGAGGATGATACAGACGCGAGGAAGCAGCCCGTGACTTTATCGGACTATGTATACGAGGACGGTGTAACTCTGGATGGTAAATATGATGTTCAACGTGGGCACGACACCTGTGGAAACAACCATCGGTGGTGCACAGAAAGCTGCTGGTCGATTTAAGTCAGAACTACTGCCACGAAACGATGTTATGTGGCTACGACAGAATGGCTACTTTTAAGGACTGGCCCGAACAGCTGGTTCAGAAGGGTAGACAGCTAGCCCGGAGAGGGTTTTATTATACAGGTGTTTCGGACAAGGTGGCGTGTGCCTGGTGTGGATTACGATTGTGGAAATGGTGTGCCGAGGATGATATCGACTTTGAACATCACAGGTTTAGACCATCATGCTCATTCCTGAAAATTACGTGTCCCTTCAAATTCGATAGTGATACGAGGACTGTTTTGTGAACTGAGAGCTGAATTGTGAGTAATACGATGTAATATAACCATATTTACGAATAAAATTTGTGAAATGTTGTTTACTTGTCTCTGTTGTGTTTTATAAAAGAAAAGTGTTGACGATGTCTACCTCGTGGGTACATTTTTGGGGGGGATGGTTTTAAACAATGAAGAATACGATGTTCGTACGGTCTTGTATTGTAGAGAGCTTTACATAGACTGTACGACTCGATGGTAGAATATAACCGCCTTCCGTGATGTATTGTAGAGAGCTTTACATAAACCGGAGGGCGTGTTATTGAGCGTCTTGATGCATTTGTTTTGCTGTCTTGTATTGTAGAGAGCTTTACATCGACAGCACGACATTTACAGACCTCTTTTTTTCAAAAATTGTTCCCTGTTTGGGGTTTACTATACGAGGTAAAGAACGTAACACTCCGTACTGCTTTTTTGTACCTCACAGATTTGTTTTTATGTAGAATATCACCGTCTTGTATTGTAGAGAGCTTTACACAGACGCGTGATTAAGAGTGTGTAGGTATGTCTTGCGGTCTAGTATTGTAGAGAGCTTTACATAGACTGTACGACATTGCCTAGCCTCCTTCAAAATTTAAATGGCACGCTAACGGTGAGGTGGAGGTTATTTGACGGATGCACTCGGATTTCTTATGGTCGCCATTTGTGTGTGTGATGTGACAGAGATGGCGAGTGAGCGCCTTTTTTCCCTACGTCAGACACTGTGACGTCTTTTTCCTACGTCATAGCGTGGTTAGCTCCTATTTTCCATCATGGCCTCCACGTGACGTAATGATGGTGGGTGTTTTTCCTACGTCACGGGTGGGTCAACGTCATAGTGGTGGCGAGTGTTTTTCCGACGTCACGGGGCGGTCAACACCTCCCCGTGACGTCATGGTGGTGGTGAGTGTTTTTCCGACGTCACGGGGAGGTCAACGCCTCCCCGTGACGTCATGGTGTTGGGCCAGCGCTTCCCCGAGGGCATATTACGTCACCTCGGAAAAGCGCTGGCACCTTACTACTAATACTACAGGGCGTTGTTTCTAGTTATTGTTCAAAAACATCTTTCACATACACCTTCAATTTTTATGAGGGGAATATACCATCAGGTGTAAGGTGTTTGCAAGTAATAGTAATAGTTTTATAATTTAAAAAAATTTGTTAGTGTGCATTTGAGGTGTGTGACAAATATGACATATCGCCGATCTGCCATTGAAATACTACAGGGCATTGTTTGAGTGTTTCTAGTTATTGTTCTAAAACATCTTTCACATACACCTTTAATTTTTATGAGGGGAATATACCATCAGGTTTTTGCAAGTAATAGTGATAGTTTTAAATTGTTTTTTGGTTTTGTTAGGGTGTATTTTAGGTGTGTGAAAAATATGACATATCGCCGATCTGTTCTGATACGCCATTGGTGCTTGTAATGCTTGAGTGTTATAGTTCTAAAACTTCTTTCTTTCTTGTTGATCTTAGTATTTGACAAAACTGGAAAGGTGTTTACAACGCTTTGTGATAGTTCTAAACTTTCTGTCTTTGAGGGGTGTGTGACAGTGTCAGTTAACATTCTGTCAATGCCCATGTCATTCCACACATGCAATAAAATATCTGAATTAGTTACTAATGTAAAAAAATGTCTCAAAGTATTTTTTTTTAAAAAGGACAGCTGATGTTAACACATGTGTTCTACCGATAGTTTTGCGTTCTTTAACATGTTTGGGGAGGGATGGCCGTGGTGTATCATATATTCTTTCATTCATTCACATATGTTCTTTTTCTTTTGTTCTTTTTCTTAATTTCTTTCATTCATTCACATAACATTCTTGCTCTTCATTCATTTATTCATTGTAAAATTCCGACTGATACAATACACTGGCTGAAGTACTGTTAAACGCAGCCGAAGTTGTGCTGGGACCGAACCAAGTCACTGTGTGCGTTGGAGCATGACGAGGCACACGTTAATTAGTACAAATGGTAAAGAAAGCAAGCGAGTGACCTATCCCTGTTGTAGAGTATCCCTGGTTAGAGTTAACAAGTAAATAATCAAAGCCGCTAATTGTTGGGACAATCAGAAAAGATGTCATTTTCACACGGAACTATGCACGTGCACAAAACTTTGTGACGTGAAGCAGGAACGACAATCCACCACTTGTAATCCTTAAAGTATTCATGCTGGTATGCTAAGATAAGTGTTTAATATACAAGACAAAAGGTTTAAATCCCTCCGTTTCGTGACATTTTTTCAAATTACATTGAAAGTCGTGATCAGTGTGTGAAAATATCAAATATATTTTTCCACACCCCAAAGTTTTTCCACACAGCCCAAAGTCGTGAGGGAGAAATTTGTTGTTATTGCAATAATTCAACATTAAGTGTTCTACAAAGACTTGATGTGAGTGCAAAACGTGACGTGCGTCATCGCTATTACATATTGTGTTGGTATGGGTTGAGTACCGTGGTGATGTTTTTTTTAGGAAAATATCAAGGTAAGTCAACTGTAATCTACAATAGAGGGTGGCTTGTTTGCACATGTACTATCCATCAAAAGTTTAGACTCACTAGTGAAAATTAAGTAAATGAATAAAGGCATGCTAACTTCACGAGATAAGTATTGAAATGTACCGTTATTTACTGATTAGGATTAGAAATGATCACAGGTACTTAAAACAAGACGGAAAAATCGAAAAATCACTGTCATAAGTTTACACAACAAATAAGCAAAATGCCTTTTTGTTTACTTTAACCAAAAAAAGTTCACTTCAAATCGTAGTGTAGCATTGTTGCAGAATTACGGAAATGACCTTGTTTTCTGGAAGCATGAGCCATATCGAATTCATGCAAGTTGGCTGTGTAATGATATCTTGCAGGGTTTTGTAAATAATTAATCTTTGCCGGAGGTACCATTAACCTTTATTTTTACTTAATTTTCGCTAGTGAGTTTAAACTTTTGATGAGTAGTAGATCTTAGTTTGAAAAAATTGCGATCCGCTGGAGTGTAGCGCCAAAACACAACTTTGAGGCGAGATGCGTTAGTTTCGTCCCACTTTAACGTGGACGGGTGCGTTTGGGTGAATATTTTCAATTTCAGTAACTGACATTCCAGTCTGCGTGACTCACCAGGCTAAACCTTCCATTCATATTTACATATGTTTGTACTTCTTTTTAAACCATTTGATTTAAACAATATGTTATTTCCAAAGAAGCTATATGTACAAGGTTTGAACATTGATATTACATATAAGATGTGAGATATTTTTCCACACCCCAAAGTTTTTCCACACACCCCAAAGTCGTGAGGGAGAAATTTGTTGTTATTGCAATAATTCAACATTAAGTGTTCCACAAAGACTTGATGTGAGTGCAAAACGTGACGTGCGTCATCGCGATTACTTATTGTGTTGGTATGGGTTGAGTACCGTGGTGATGTTTTTTTAGGAAAATATCAAGGTAAGTCAACTGTAACCTACAATAGAGGGTGGCTTGTTTGCACATGAACTATCCATCAAAAGTTTAGACTCACTAGTGAAAATTTAGTAAATGAATAAAGGCATGCTAACTTCACGAGATAAGTATTGAAATGTCCCGTTGTTTACTGATTAGGATTAGAAATGATCACAGGTACTTAAAACAAGACGGAGAAATCGAAAAATCACTGTCATAAGTTTACACAACAAATAAGCAAAATGCCTTTTTGTTTACTTTAACCCAAAAAAGTTCACTTCAAATCGTAGTGTAGCATTGTTGCAGAATTACGGAAATGACCTTGTTTTCTGGAAGCATGAGCCATATCGAATTCATGCAAGTTGGCTGTGTAATGATATCTTGCAGGGTTTTGTAAATAATTAATCTTTGCCGGAGGTACACACCTAAGTATATC